TAATTATATATGTGTTTTCCGATGGTCTTAGGCGACCCCTGTGAAAGGGTCGTTTGACCCCCAAAGGGGTCACGGCCCACAGGTTGAGAACCGCTGCCATAAAAGATATTATAAAGATATAAACCAAATATTATACATAAATGACACCCCCCAAAAAAGCTATTAAAGACATTTTCATAGAAGTTAGAAGGAAGGGCTTCCAAAGAACTTTCCTATAGAAAGTATGATTTTCTGGTTTCCACAGGCATTAAAATGATGCTTACAATGTGGTTCTTATGCACTGCTATTCAGACTTTACTCTCGAAATGACGCCTAAGAGTAATGCTGGAGAAATAAACCCGGGTCCACACAATACACGCCAGAACTGGCATGGCCCCTGCTTTCTCGGAGCTCAGAGAATTCAGGTGGAACCCAGAATTCAACAAACATAAATAATGGCAAGTTGGAAAAGCCCTATACAGTGAGCAGAGCGCTAAGCAGTGCACAGACAGTGCACAAGGCAGTTCCCGGTGGAAGGGGTCCCAGGAAGAACGCGAGGACTGGACTGGGTTACTGCACACCATGAACTAACATTTAAGCCTGATGTCAGATTAAAAACCAAAGTGTTTCTGTTTACACAAGGCCTACACAGCCATTTTCATAAAAAGAGACAAGGGATCCCATGCCTTGTTGCTTATATCCTCTCCATTTTGACTTTAAATAAGAAAACAATTAAAGGGGCCAAAAGTTTTAGAATTAAGTAATTTGTAACTCCTTTCATATCAAAAATAAAAATAATTGAAAAAAATCCATTCTTAAATATGTAATTTGTTTCAGAACCAACTCCACATTTAAGTTTAATAATCAAAAATTACTAGGTTTATGAGGAAATGAAATATAGAGAAGTCCCCTTTCTTGTAGAGCTTCAAAGTTATTGAAATCTAACAAAGGTATTCGAGATTAGGCCTAATCCTTAAACCCTGTCAATTTTCAGATGTACAAATCAATGACTTTATCAGCACAGTCCTATTTGATTACTTGAAAAAGATAAAGAATGTGGAGGAGGTTAGAGCCTTGGACTTCACTACAGAAAACAAGATGTGGACCGGGAAGTTCAGCTGTGGAATTTTGTATAAAGATTTCAAGGCATCTACTGATTTTCAACATAGCAGTAATTTTCACTGCCTGTTAAATGAAGTACATATGCAATGTATTTCCATGTCTTAAATAATCAAATTAAGGCAAGAAATTGAAAAGCTTTTTCAAGGTCAGTGGCAATTCCAGATTTTGGACACAAATCTTTAAAATAGAGCCTACCCCTATAGAACATTCTAGGAAGTCACCTAACCCAGCTGCGCATTAGAATCACCTGGGGGATAAGAAAAGCAAAGGCCCAACTCATAAGACTCTAACTTAACTAGTCTCAAATAGGGTCCAGCGCTCTCTCTCGCTCTCTCTCTCTCTCTCTCTCTCTCACACACACACACACACACACACACACACACACACACACACACACCTTAGTATTCAGGAGACTGCTTTAGACTTGGCCATGTCCCAGAAAGTGAAGACAAACAAGTCCTGATAACCAATGCAGAATTTCCATTTAAGGGGAAAAGTTCTACCTTAATAACAATCATTTGTTGACATCATCACCCCATTCACAGAGATCTCAGCGAGATATATATAAAAAAAAAGTTTGCCATCACCAAACATCCGATTCAAAGCAGCAAAACAAAGGCCAAAAGCAAAGGACCTCTTTTCTCTTTTATCCTCTGAAGTGATGCCCATTCGGGATATTAGCTATTGGCTATTTATCATGTTAAAGTTGGACTATCTTGAGAAAAACTTTATTTCCGCTCATTTTCATTTCTGTCAGACTTTCCATTATAAATTTTATTTTCTCTGCCAGTAAAAGTAGTATGAGGTTGTAATTTGGCAAGAACATTTTAAGCCTGGGTGTGATTTCCGTACCCCAATTTGATTTAAATTAGTTTTGCCATATTTAGTGAGAACTTAAAAAAGGTCCTTTCAGCCGCTTTGGTTTGTCTATTGGGTCTTTTTCTACACAATTTCAAGTCTGAAAAGTCACCATGTTTATTTCTGATAATTTTATGTAGAAATGCATTAATGAATTCATATGATCCCATCACTATTTTTAATGAAAACAACTTAACTGATAATGAATAAATAAAAACCTGCCGGTTTTGTTTTTCGGCTAAGCTATCCACTTTTTTTGAAAGCCACATGTCTATCACTATTAGTGTTAAATCCTCCAGAGAAACACAATGGACACTCACATGCACAAGCTTTAACCTGATGCATTTCTGAATCGATATACATTTCTCCAGGACAGCATTTTGCTACCTGTTGCTTACCACCAGCATTTCTCTACACCAAACAAAAGGCCTCTGGGACTGGCATAAGCAAGGTCACATGTAACAGTGCTCACCCTACAAGTCCACAGGATATTGTTACAATACAATAAAGCAGCTTTTGGAGTTCCTTGGGGCATATCACCTAAAGGTTTTGCGTCCTGTGTCTCTGTAATGGAGGGGACAGGAGAAAACAAAAGCTCCCCCTCCACGCGAGTCACTCACCTTGCCACACCGTGGGACTCATTTCAGCTGTGATCTGCTATTTAGACCTGAAGCCCAAGATACAGAGACGCTGCCTTTCTTTTGGTTTGCATTGTTGGTGTTGCAGACAGGGATTCAAAGAACCATTCGGCACCAGAGAGAGACTCATTCACTGGAAGACACACTCTGGTCTGCTCTATTCTCAAATTTCACAGAGAATTCATAATATGGGCACTTTTCATCTCCAGCCCCTATTTCCTCAATCAGGGCATTTCCAAAAGTCTGCTCTTTTATTTACCCCTGAGTGATCACACCGTTTATGGATGCTGCTGAGACCAGGCTAAGCATAGAGATAGTCAGTTCTTGCAAGACTCACAACCATGAAGCAGAAATAAGAAAGAAAGCATCTACCCTCCACATCTACATTAGGAAGACTTTTTAAGAAACGCGTACTCTTTTAGACAACAGAGTTTTCCTGGACACGAATGTCTCAAAATGAACCTCCCAAGGCCCAGAAATTCAGCCACCACACGCCAGTCCATCCACCTCTGCACTCCACCCTCTGCCCCTTTCCACTTCTCACCTGATGTTTGCCAAGAAAATTCACTTCAGTTTCACCCGAGGGAAGTATTTCCCACACACCGAGGGAGGGTCTGTGTCCCTGCACATACACAGACGACTCACGCGGTCTGGATGATGCTTTCACAAGTTAAGGGGCCTCACGCTTACTCAGCAGAGGAAATCTTTGTGTCTGTGAGGAATCACGCCAATTCCTATTAGTAAGAAAGGATACAGGGGCGAGGAAGCCTATTCTCTCATTGACCAGAAAAAGAGGCCCAGCAAAAACAGAGACCTCTGCCATGACCATCTGCAAAAAGGAAGGATGTTGTCAACTTTCTTCTCCCCAAAACTCTGACGACCTCTGCCTTGACCCTCAGAAAACAGATACACAGGAACAGGCTCTTCTGCAGGAATTGAGAGCTTTACACCAGAGACTCGGCACTGAGAGAGGCTTGTCGCCTGGCTATCTACCCCGAACATTTGCACTCACATTCCAAAGATGTTTCCGTTGCGTTGGAAGGACTGTAAATTTCTTTCCTGCAGAATTCTTTCCAAACAAACTCCCATGGACTGTCCTCTGCAGCCGTGCAGCGGAGCTCCCTAACCAGGCACCATTCACCTCCTCTCGCAAGTCTTTCAGATGCTGAATATGACTGCATTGGTGGCTGGGCCAAAGGAGCAAACTTTAAAAATGCAAATGCGTCCAGGGAAAACCAAGCCACCCGAATCCCACCTTTAGTGATAGGCAACTGATCTGAAAAGCAAACCTCCTTCAGGGGCTCTATTTCATCACTAAAGCTGTTTGCTTACATTTTCAGGATATATTAAACAGTTGTTTTAAATTTTTTAAATAGATTTTTTTTTCCATTTCATTAAAGGAAATGGGAGGGGGAGAGGGTTCAAGAGAACAAGCGTTCCCTTTCCAGCACAAAAAGAACATACGTTGTTTGGGTGAATAATAAAACAGTAGAAAGCTTTGAATATTAAAGAGGATTATTAAATTCTATCAAGGGTTTTCCACAGAAACCAATGCACTTATAAAAAGAAAGCCTACATCTTTAAAAAAAAAAAGGTTTTAAACATATGATTAATACTGATACTGAAATTAAAAAGAAAGCATCTATAAAATCTCAATTGTCTTGAAACAAAGCTTACACTTTGGGCTACTGATAGTATTTTTAGAACGGGGCTTTCTCTGGAGAGTTAAAGGTATGCAAATGCAGGGTGCACAGAGACAAACACACACATGCTATACCTTTGTATTACACTGGCATTTTATTATTTAATTAAAGTACTCTTATTTTTCTAGCTCACGCATGCTTCCCTTGAGACGGCTTTGCTGTTAGCCTGCTGGCCTTGACTTCCAGCCAAAAACAATTCAGAAACAAAAAGGGACAACAAATCATATTTTCACAGACATTTTTATCCCTCAATACAACCCTGTTTTCACACAACATCATACAGCCCCTATGAAAACTATAATTTAGGGCAGTAGCCACCAAACCCAGGGTTTGACACATGGCTGCACGAAGTATTTCTAGTGTAAGAAATTCTTAAGTTCTTAATTGCAAATAAACTCTTTTGATGGAACCACTTTCACCGACATCGCTGGTTTGCAAACAGTGCCATGGGTACCGGTTGATGGATTAAAAACTAAAAGCGAGCCAGCGAATGTAGTTCTGATATGCCAGAGATCTAAAGATGAGGTGCCTATTACCTCCAAGCTCTGTGCTGTTTCATTACTTTTTAAACGAAAGAGGCATCGGCAGACTCTCAGTGCATCTTAGTGTCACAGTCCAAAATGCATCATCTAATTTATAAAATAAACCGAATTACCAGGCTAATTCTCCCAACCCTTTCCCATGCGAGATCCTCACTTACCTGGTGGCAACCCTGTAAGTTTGATTCTCTCCCATAAGATGAATATGAGCCCCTTTCTGTTTTACCTGCCAAGAGAAACAAAAAAAAAGTGTAAATGGTTTTTTCCTTTAAAAAAAAAAAGCTTCCAGGTAATAGACATCTACTTCTCTTCCCCGATGTTTACATACGTAAAGTAGGCACTACTGGCAATGTATGCAAGCAAGAGAGGGAATAACACTTCCTCACTCTGGCTATGATAAACTGGAAAAAAATATCCTTCATTCCTATTCTTAGCCAAACTGCTCCACACTTCCAAAAACTGTCATTCCAATGGCCTCCACTTTCTCTAACAAACAAATTGTCATTTCTTATTTTCACTTGCTTTCTCTCTCACAAAATTTAAACAATTTCATTTTTATTTACACAGCAGGCAAATTATCTATGTAATGACCCTAGTCTAGGAATTCCCATTGATTATATTGACACTTAATGGTGAGGCCAAAGCTAATCAATCAAGGCTTTCCAGATGGTGAATACAGCAAAAGAAACTACTCAAAATTCTGAGACATTCTCTCTCTTTTTTTAACTCCCTTTCCCAGGAGTAAATTCCATCGTGATCACAATGATGATGGAATTTACATTTGGAAAAGAGGGCTTTGAAAAATTGCCGACTCTGATCCCAAGTTCAGATTCTACCAGTAGACTCCGCAGGACATGGGATAATGGAATGTGAATATCTTGTTCCAATTCTAACAACCTAACTTTTATATACAGAGATGTATGCAGCCTCAGAAGCTGTTTGGCCACATCTAAGGGTGTCATCAAGGCTGCTCATTGGTTTCTTTTTAAAGTATGGTTAGCCTTAATAATCAGCAAGGTAGACAATGAAACCACATTACAAGAGATCTAAGCAGTAGAGTTCAGTTAGTGACATATGAAGAGTTATCACAGAAAATGGACCCAGACCACACATTAAAAAGGTCTAGGGACAGCCAAGTACCCAGAACGCAAACCCCACGCTGCCTGAGACTGAAGGATGCTTCTTTTTTGGAGAACAGAATGTTAAGGAACACTATACTTTACTCCTAGGATTATACTATTCTTTCTTTTGATGAGAAAATTCAAAACTAGTATTTTTGAGAGACTGAATGGTATCCACCTCAATTTCCCCTCAACCCAAGTTATGGCAAATATGAAAAGGAACAGTGGTCATGTTTTATGTTTTATATATATATAAAACAGAAGATGACTTTTCAAAGAAAGCCAAACCTGAGTCTTAAAATTAACCCTCCCTCCCCCAGTATTAACTTTTCTACTGATTCAATGAATCTGAAACTTGGGAAAACATTCCCCCACCCATTTCTGGTATGTTGTTCAGTGCAAAGTAGAAAATCAATGTCCATATCAGTTTCAATTCCTATGGAACAGGATATCCTCTCACAGACATACTGTCACTGTTGGGACATCTAAGAGAATAATTTTAATTGTATGGGGATTTTACACCGAAGAAAAAACTCATTTACCTGTTCAGCAGTGCAAATGCCCATGCATACATATCTACTCTTCTGTGTTGGTCAAATATAATCTATAGATGCCCTTTAGCTTCTCTCTACAAATATTATTAACAGAAAAGACTCGACCTTTATAAGCTATCGAATGGCATATGTCCTTCCTTAAGCTCTTGCACTTTAAAAGCTTCCATACAACCACAGCATAATTCACTTTGACATAATACTCACTTGTTTAACAACTAGAAAGGCAGGTAGAGATGTAAGCAAGCAGGCAGACAGAAAGATAGATGATAGATAAATGAATAGATGAGGTAGAATTTGCTCTGACTGCCTAGGAAATGGAACATCTAGTAACCTGTTTTGGTAATTTCTAAAAACTGAATTGTAAAACACAATTTAAAGTAAGAAAGACTATCTATTTCTCTCTAGAAGGAATTACTGAATTTATCCCCTATAGAATTTCACCACCTGGCATTCTTTCCCAACTTGAGTCCAGCACATGGACCTCAGAGATTAATTTTCTTACGAGGATTTGTCTCAATTCATGTATGTATATATAAGTTAGAGCTATCCCTTCCCTTATTTTGAAGCTAGAAGGTGACGGTAAATAGTACAGATGAGGGAGGGAAGGAGGAAAAAAAAGAAAATGAGAATAAATGGGAGAGAAGAAAGGAGAGAAATAAAGAGAGGGAGAGTGGAATGGAAAAGCAAGGGGGTAGAAAGGGAGAGAAGGAGGAGGCAGAGATGAGAAGAATATGAATTCATGCTGCACCGAGTCCCCAAAGTACTCCAGGCTACAAGGCCCAGCACTCTTTACTATCATATCAGATACAGACCGCTTAATCTTAATTTTGCTTGTTAAAAAATATTTATCCAGATACAAAAATAAACCCACTGCAAATTACAAGTTGTCAGGGTTAAAAATCTACTCGTGTTTGTGTGGGGGAGGATAAGAGACCAGCATAGACATGAATCATTCTCAGTAATTTGAGTGTTTCCATGACATCAATGGGCACCAGTCCAGGACTCTGTCGAAGTCTGCGAGGTACCAAAGAGGCAGTGCAGCCAGCAGGAGACTGGGAGGTGCATTCCTTTTTCTTTCTTTCTTTCTTTCTTTTTTTTTAGGATTATGCTCCTTGTAAAGATTTCATCTGTAGCATCCACTTTTACCATCAAATAGATCGCTCCAGAGATCATGAGCGAACACATTTCATTCTGATAGTGTAAGCCTTTAACTTTATTACATCTTTTTGTTCCCAAATTCAACTATAAATCTGCCCTCGGAGCCCAAACCCCCATTTGGGAGCAAAATAATCAGAGACTGAGGATAAACCCAAGCGCTTTCTCAGACGTATTATATCTATTCCTATCATTTCCTAATGACAGGAAGCAGCCATTTTACAATGACACCTCAGTTTCTAGGCAAATAAATACATCTTTTGTGTAAATTGTCCACGAAAAATTAGCTATGGTCTTGATGTTGATTTTCTGCTAAAAATTCACTGGAACATTTGTTGCAGATAATAAAATTTTCAAGAGTGCTGATAACATGTTTGAGTACGATTCTTAAGTAACTCTCTGTGCTCATGCACACAAAAGCTCCTAAATATCTGTGCTTACTCGATGTCAGGCATGGGTTTTTGTCACTTAGACCCACTGGCTGGCGCAGACAGCTCTTTCCTCCTTTCTCCATTCTTCGCCACCCACCCACCCCCATCCCCACAACCGCAGCCGAGCATTGAGAGCTAGAGATTCTATTTTTTCAATATTTAAAAGAGATAGCAGTGATGAACAAGCGGCGTGCTCACTGCGGAATTTTTGAGACAACCCTCCAGTACTAGAATGCGACAGCCGCTGCGGATAGTTTTTGGCACAAAGACAATGGTGGCAGTGCCAAGCCCCATGGCTAAAACTACTCAAAAGAGGCATAAGGGTAGCATTAATCGCTCAAGTCTTTTACTGCATGGAGTACCGTTGTCCATATTTTAAAAACTAAAGGTACCCGTTAGTAACGTTTGTCGTCTGCCCAGAAAGGGTGGGGTGTGTGTAGGGGGGGGGGGGGTAGGGGTGGTTCCGAAATATGTACCAGAAACAAATCCTGTCAGGCATCTGATTCATTCTTATACCTAAGAGGACCGAATGTGAAATTCTGCTGCTGGTGACGATTTGCCGTGGATGAGACAAACGATGTGACCTAACGGAGCACACTGAAGGCTGAATGAAAGCTCCAGAGAGGATTTCATAAACTGAGCCGACATATTGGCTAAACAAGTTTCTTCCCCAGAAATGATGTATACAAGGAACATGCGATACTATGTCACAATTTTTAAAGTGAAGCAAGAAAAACGCTGTAAGTGAGCAGACACATCAGTCAATCAATCCTTCCAGAGACAAAGGAGACCAACACGCAGCCCCCTCTCCAGAACAGTCGGCATCTACCGTGAGCAAACAACCCAGAAAGTCAACACGTGTTTTGTCCAAAATGAACCCATCAGCTGCTAAAACCTGTATTTAAATTTGATCATTACAAATGGCACCAACTAACAATCAATAAAAGATTCACTTGCTTCTTCCGTTCCCCTTGAAAATCTGATCTAAGTAGAAAATACTGCATAAGTTATGTCCAATTTTTTAAAGACCAATATATGTGCTGATCTATTCAATAATTCCCAGGGAGGATAAGGAAAAAGTGGTTTTTATTTGGGGCACTGTGGTTAACAAATGCTAATATAATTCCAAATGTAATACTTTTATGTCCTTATATAATTTTCCATTTGACTTCCGATTTTTCTTCCAATATATCCATATACATAGCATCCTGCTGTACAACAATGCCATACATCTAGGAAGTATCCCTGTGAATGAATGGACTTACGAGACCATTTTGATAGATTCCTACATCTGGAAAGTTCTAATCTACATGGTAAAAGTGAGAAATATCAAGAACAACGTACTGATGATTTCTGGAGATACGCTGTGACATGGGAGATCACACCAGTGGTTGACCAGTAGGACAATAACAAGGTCATGTTCAGGTTTCTAGCCATTCATTCTTAAAAGGCCGCTTTTAAAATTATATGTAAATGGTAGGTATTTCATCTACTACTGAAAAAAAATGTACCTCTAGTGAAACCTGTCCCATGAAAAGCCTTGCTAACAATTATCTGATGCTGCAGGACAATACCAGGCAAGGCTGCTTCACTGTTAATCCTCATTCTGGGAACTGAAGAATGAGCCTTTTGTTCCCAGCCATCAGACTAGGAAACTCATCATCACCATGTTCCAGTCAGAATAAATCTGTGTCCCTGTCCCCAACCCCAACCGATTCCTGGTTACCCTATTAATTTTTCTTTATATTGAAAAGACTATTTCATTAAATAATGACTGCAATTCTTAATGGTTCTGAAAATATACATGAGGTCATTATTTGCAGTTCTTTCATCTTTTCCATGTCTGCCTTTTCCTCCCTTGCTCAAATAAGAATAGATGAGCCCCTGTTATATATTACCCACAATGCAAAGGGCGTATATGGACTGATTTATTCAAGCTGCACAACAACCCTGTGAGGTGGGTAA